AATGTTCGGCTCCGCCCGAACTTACACTTTCTTACTTGTTTAAATTGCATTTAAAAAACCATGTGGTTGAGGAACGTATACATCACTAATAATAATGTAAATACCAGGTACTTTTGAAAGTAATGGTTAATAAAAAAACCTTTAACAAAAATAGACAAAAACAATTTCTACTCTATAAAGAAATGGCGAACGGCGAATTTTTTGCCATTTTTCGCAATTTTCTCGAAATTTTGAGGGTGTACGAGTCAAGCGGATCTCAGAATTGGGTTCAGCGGGTCGAAATATATGTTGGTAGGTGGGTCTGGTTAAAAAAAACACACACCTTTTTGTGCCGGTATTGTTATTATTGCATTTAAACTGCTTTCGTAAGATCAGTAAAGCATTCAAAGCGGAGTCTTCTAATCTTGACCTGAAGTTTTTACATACAAAACCTACTGATGAAAAACATATTTCGGCCTCAACACTTTTAGGCTCAACTGTCAAAAGTTAGTCATAAGCCATGTGAAGATAATGACCCCTACCTTCTCCATTACAAAATATTTGAACTTCTTCTACCACCACGTCGTACAAATTATAAGTTTTTTGATTTAAGGAAGTTTTGAGTGTATTGATGTAAAAAATTATCTTACTTTTCCTTAAAACTCTCTGTTTCATTAGCGACGCTATGAGTAAATTAATTTAAATCTTCTTCAAAAAAGGTCATGCATGTTTGTTAAGGTCAAATCTTGCTATCAATTTTTGACCAATTTCCCAATGACCTAGAGACTTGAAACTTCGTAGTACCCGATGACAATGCAATACAAAAGATGAGTTAATCCGAAAGGTGGCGAAGGAGTCGAGATATTTGAAAAACTCGTATTTATAATCTGATTTGGTTCACATTTAGAACGTATATTAACTACATGAAAAGTAATAACTCCACTAAAAATTTTGCTGATAGGTGGCGCACGATTCGATATATTACAATTAACATATTTTGTCTTTATTTTTACACAAAGCCTTTTGAGAAAATGCATCTGAAAAAGACCGCATCTACTTACATCCCAAGGTTTACCCAGCTGGCAAATGCAAATAAGGATTAAAATTTTAAATCTAATTAATAAAATTATTGTAAAATCTGTGGAAAATTAACAATAAAATACTTTCTTCGCAAAATCTATAAAGGACCCTTCTATTAAAAAAAAAAAAAACTGCGTTTAATAATAAGGAATTAAACAGCTTTTATGGGTCTATTCTGCGCTGGTAACAAAAATTTTGTTACCGGTAAATAAATTTCCTGGTAATTTTGAAACCCTTTTTGCATGCTCACTGGTAAATTTTATTACCATCTGATAAGCAGGTAACAAAATATTGCCCCGTGAAGTATGCAGCACCAGAATTTATACAAAACTTCATAGCTGAATTGCTGAATAGATTAAATTGTTACCAATGTACTTAGAATTGTGGTGTTATTTTTTGGTAACAAAATGTTCGGTAACAAGCAGAATAGGCCTGTGTTTAGCGTGCTGTTAACCGACTTCAGAAAAGGAGGAAATTATCAATTCGTCGGAGATTTTTTTATGTATGTGACCGGATAACTTTGGACCGCGTGAACCGTTTTCGATAACACTGTGCGATAGCCGAAACCAGCCCTGACTTTGTTAACATTTTCTGAAAGTATAACCATCCAGTAGTAAAACACTCGATGGATTTGCAAAAGCTAGCTCTTATTTTTATTTTATGGACTGCTAAAGTTTTCATGTCTCGGCCTAAGTAGTTTTCAAAAAAGTTATAAAAATGGTTAAAATAAATATCTGAGCGAAATTAAAGGTTAAGAAATAGTAAAATTTCATGGGAAATATTTGCGTAGAACATTTTAACCCATAGCGCCCGCCTGAAAGGGTCATTTTGGCCCTTACTTCAAGAAACCCCGCAAAAAGCAAATTCGGAAGTTCGTTAGGGGATTAATATATTCTAGAAAATTATTCTTCGGCAAATTTTACTACACACAAAAAAAATGTTGGTATCATAACAGCACTCTTGGGTGTTGCTGTATATATAAACTAAAATAAGTGTAAGCTTAACACCAAAAAGAGTCGAACTAAATAACACTAAGAAGTGCAAGTTTGACACTAGTGTGGAGTATTTGTGAACAACACTCCAAAGTGTTAATTTAACTCCAAAAAGTGACAATGCTAATTACACTAAAAGGTGTAATTTTAAAACTTAAATTTCTAAAACTTTAAAGTGTAATTGTAACTCCGATAATACTACTCCGATAAGTACTAATAAATATTACACTAAAAGCGTAATATTAACTCCTGAAAATTCCCCAAAATTTCCCCCAAAAAAAGGTTAGAATGAAAACGAACTCGTTTTGGATGAAGTTTTTTATTCAGTACAAGTAATAATAATTATTTACAAATGTATGTTTAATAAGGCCAAACATAAATACACTATTTACATAAATATTACATCCGTTATTATTATATATATATTAGAATTAATATGATAGCAATCGTAAGGCTTGGTAAATTTCAGGTTGTCAAAACGAATTACCTCCGTTTCGTTTGAAGGAGACAGCTCGTAAACTTTAAGAATATCATCAAAAGTTTTAGTATTATATATTTAAAATAAAATAGCATAACATTTTTAATAATATATGTGGTTTTTATTTGCCAATTGAGCAATACGAATTAGTTAGTGCACTTGGGCAGCCCGGGTTTGATGTAGTAGGAGATTCTACAATTGAGCAATACGAATTAGTTAGTGCACTTGAGCAGCCCGGGTTTGTATTTAAATCGATATTATTTTGTGAGCTTTGGTTTTCCTCGCAAACAGTTTCAGTACTTTCTCTACCACATTGTGAAGAAAGCCGGTGTAATGAGTTAAACGTACAAAACGTCTTTTTACAGTTTTCAGAAGATACACAAGCCTACTGTAAACTATGTTTTTCAGAAAGAAAATGTTCATATTTTAAAAGAAAAATTACAAAAGATATTTCTTCAAATAGTTTTTTACATAAATCCACAATAAGTTTTTCATTAAAAACGGTTATAAGGCCATAATATAACAAAAAGAAATAAAAAAACAAAAATATTTCATTTTTTAAATTACTGATTGTTCAGCATCAATTTTGTTTTTAAATTTCATATAGATCTCAAGAACTCGATTAGAACATTTATTATTCGGTTCAACTTTGTAAATAAACTTCGAAAAAAATTTCAAAAAGTTTGACAATGCAGGATCAAATTCAATATGAAATACATAAAATTACTTAAAATATAAATCAAATACTTCAACGAATGTATATTCTATAGGTACCTGTAAGGCTTTCTTCTTCTTCTTATTTGGCGCTGTAACCGCCTAAGCGATTTTGGCCGAGTCCAAAACAGCACACCAGTCATTTCTCTTCTGTGCTAACTGACGCCAATTGAAAATGCCAAGTGAAGCCAAGTCCTTCTCCACCTGGTCTTTCCAACGCAGAGGAGGCCTTCCTCTTCCTCTGTTACCAGCATCGCGGCCCGCGTTGAATATTTTCAGAGCAGGAGCGTTTCTGTCCATCCGAACGACATGGCCAAGCCAGCGGAGCCGCTGAATTTTAATTCGCTGCACTATGTCTATATCGTAAGGCTTTACCATCAATTAAAATAAAATACTAAACAATTTCCCCCTTTTTTTCCAGATGCTACTATCGTAGGCTGCTTGCTGTTTAATTCGAAATCGTATATGGGTGTATTTATCTGAAATTAGGAAATACGTTCAATTATTGGTTTTTAATAAATACTTATTTAATTAAATTTGATCTTATTTTATTATTTAATTAAGTTTAATTGTATTTTGTTTTAACATTTTAATTTACCTACTACATACTTATATTTTATTTATTTTTATTTCATTTATTTTAGTATTTTATTATATTATTTAATTTTATTTTATTTATAGGTATATTTCATTTTACTTACTAAATACTTATATTTTATTTATTTTATTTTATTTGTTTTTATTTCATTTATTCTACTATTTAATTGAATTTTATTTTATTTTCTTTGTAGGTATATTTCATTTTACTTCATTTTACTTACTACATACTTATATTTTATTTATTTAAGTATTTTATTTTATTGTTTAACTTTATTTAATTTAATTTTATTTATAGGTATATTTCATTTACGTCATTTTACTTACTACATACTTATATTTTATTTATTTTAATTTCATTTATTTTAGTATGTCATTTTACTATTGAATTGAATTTTATTTAATTTAATTTTATTTTGTTTGTATGTTTCATTTTACATTATTTTATTTACTACATACTTATATTTTATTTTATTTTATTTCGTTTATTTTCTTTTATTCCTTTTATTTTACTTTATTTTATTTTTTTTTTATTTGATTTTATTTCAAATTTGGATACCTCTTCACTTACATTCTGAAAATTTACAGTTCATTCATTCATTCATTGACAGTTGATTCGAAATTTACTCTTAGTTGTTTATTCTCCTTCGAGCGAAGTGTAAATGAAGGTGTAGCCTCAGCAGATGTAAAAACGGTTCGATTTCTATAAACCACTCTGAAAATAAAATTTCAATTAGAATTTAAACCCGCATCTCTTAAGTCAAGATGCTTACCTGGTATTAAACAGCTGCCAACAGTGTCTTTTAAAACGTCCTCTGTGAACTTGAAATAACTTCGCCAGGAAGTAATCAGGCTGTTGGCTATTATACGATTGTAACGCAGTTCAAAATCAAATGAAATCTAAAAATTGCTAGTCACAAAAATTACTTTACAAATGTTGTCTCATTTACCAGAGAAAGATCATATCGAAAAATAGGAAATGCCTTCAAAACATCAAGATGTTGGGTACAATATCGAATTCTCTCATTTAGTGTTGTCTTAAATTTTTGTTTTATATCTTCAGTATTTCCTTCAACGACACAAGTCTTGAAGAAACTTGTATCAAATTCTACAGATGTGCTCCTACGTCTCTCTGTATTTGGTTCACCTAAACTTTTGTTAAAATTCGTGCGCCTTTTTCTATTTAAGTTTTTGAGGTTTGAATCCAGGTTCCTGAATTGTCCGCTGGATTGTAAAACAGGTCCTGTAAAAAAAAATTCAAAAATAGTGCTTTACTTAAAACAACACACTTACAATTCCGCCTACTTCGCTAGCGCTGCATTTGTAAACAGGAAAATTGGCGATACTTACTTTTGCAAGAGCAATTATTTGTTCCCGAGTTTACGGCTTCACGGACCAATATACGTCGTGAGGCATCACTTAGGGCCGGTTTCTCCATCTCCGGTTAACACTAACTCCCCGGTTAAACACTGTTATCGACGTTCTAACTCCATGCATATAACAGGGAGTGATAAGGTCGGTAACGATGTTTACCGGGGGATTAGTGTTAACCGGAGATAGAGAAACCGGCCCTTAGCGTTTTTGTGTGGTTATATTCCTGAAGTATATGAGAACCATCACCTTCTCTAATAAAGTCCAATAGCGCCTATTTAAACAATTCATTATTGCCAAACGGTTTTGCCATAAAAATTTGTTTATACTACCGCGCAGAATATGAAAATTTCCTAAGTGCAAATGTACAATTTGCAAACACACTGCAAAACTAAAAAGAACATCACGCCACAAGCGATGCGTTTGTATGCAAATTCTGTGTAGTCCATATTCTGCACTTATGACAATCTTTTACACTTACTTCATTTCAAAGAAATTCAATACCCGAATTTGTTGCCTTGCCAATAGGAATGTTTTCTGTTAAAGCATATAAATATGTAAATAATTAATAAATTAGCGGTTCACCTTAGCTTACCCTTGTGAAAAATTTCTAGCAAAAAACAGGAGCAACTTCCAAATCGCTTAATTGTGTCTAATATTTGGTCTTGCTGTATTGCGACTTTATCACAGTCCATCAACTTTACAGTGCTATTGTATGAAACATCCAATTTTGAATAAACTGTGAAATAATAATGTTCTTTGACAAATCAATTATATAAATAGGCAATCATGTTTCCTTTACACCCCTTTTACGGCTAAACTATACTTCTAAGGAATAAACAATTATATATCATTAGAAAGGTATTTTGATGCTGATGTGCAGGCAATTTTTAAAATTTCAAATTAGGTTAACATAAAGCGAAAAACTCAATTAAAAAATGACATCAATACTAATATTGTACGTGTATAAGGTTGGAGCGGAAATGCCACCTAAATGTATGCTTTAATATTGATACTGAATTACAGAAACGTGCTAAGCAGCAGTTTAGGAATAAGATGTATGTATGTATGTACATGAATAGATTATACTCAAACAAGGAAGAAGGTAAAGTTGAGTATGGAGAAGAAGAAA